TTTTGGAAAGTAGACACCGCAAGGATTTTGCAGAGAGGCATGTTGAGTCCATGGAACATTTATTTTTTGCCACAAATTTTTTGAAAATGACTATTTTTTTTTAATTTACACAAAGTTGTCACTTTAATAATATATTACTCATGAATGCCATGAGTATATGTGGAATAGCACCCCAAAACATATTCTTCTACTTCTCCTAAGTATGGGGATACCACATGGGAGTGACTTTTTGCAGCCTAGCTACATACAGGCCCCCAAAATCCAATGACCCCCTCCTGGTTTTCAAAGGGCATATTTCCTCATATCGCTTCCCCACTACCTATCACAGTTTCGGCTCTAAAATGCCAGGATAGTACAAACACCCCCACCACCCCCCAAATTACTCCTTTTTTGGAAAGTAGATACCCCAAGGAATTTTATAGGAGGCATGGTGAGTAGTTTACAGATATCATTTTTTGTCACAGGGTTTTGAAAAAGAAAAAATACATTTTTGTTTTCTTTCTTCGTTTTCCAAAAACATGTGGCAACAAATGAGATCTGTAAGATACTCACCATACCTCCTACCAAATACCTTGGAGTGTCTACTTTTCAAAAAGGGTCATTTGGAGGGGTTGCTTCTACTATCCTGGCATTTCAGGGCCAACAGTAGAAGCTTATGCCACTTATCACCCACTCTTGAAGGCCAAGCCATTTCTGACACTTTTTGTTCACATGAAAAAACTGTTTTTTTTGCTAGAAAATTACTTTGAACCCCCAAATATGATATATTTTTTATAGCAGAGGCCCTAGAGAATAAAACGGTGGGTGCTGAATTTTTTTAAGTCACACTATAGAGATGATTGGAGTAATTCTGGTCTCTGATCAGCTCTATAGTCAGCCACTGGATCTGCCTGCTGCAGTCTTGGATTCCCCTATGGGACAGGAGAGCCCAAGAAAACTGTGGAAGGCAGCAGGAGGGGTGTCCCTTCCTGCTGCTCATAAAAACAATTCAGCAGCGAATTGGCCACTAGGGTTGCTTTAACATAAAAACAGACCACCAGCTGAAAAAAACTATACCAGGATGATGCCGGTAGCTGCAGGCATCATCCCGTTATAACCACTTAAATTCAAGTGACATACTAGTACATTGCTGTTCCATGTTGGGCATATGTGTAACAGCAGACAACATGGAAATATGATGAATTGAGTCTGTGGACCAATATGACCGCAATTCATTCTTTTTTGCAATGCCCGTGTTGAATGTCCCAAAAAATATTTAAATTCAGAAACTGTGATAGGTTTCCATGTGAATTGTCTAGCAAGAGCTGAATTTTGATGAGCGGTGATGTATTGTTGTGCGTATAAATTGTATTGGCCCACAATCAATTGGTACAAAACTTCTATGAAAAACAGCAAAGGGGCTAAATGCTAGTGCTGGCAGTGAACAGGGCTGATCCTGCTAACACTGCATTTTTGGGGACACTACACGAAGGAGGCACTAGTATAGTTCTGTTCATGATCAATATATTGATGTGTACAAACACTATACTAGTAATGGCAGTGATCAGCGACCTACAGCGTGAGTGCGATAGCGTGCAGGCAATCAAACGCTAGCTGACCCTGGCTGGGAGGGGTGCTTACTGACCCTGACGTTATCTGATGTGGCTAGTGGCAGGAATTTAGCAATCAGTGAAAAATTCTATATACTAACACTGTACTAAGGGCACTGGCTGGGTTACAGGGCGATCAAAGGGTTAATAGGGATGATCAAAGGGTTAAATGTGCTGATCTAACGTGTGTGTAAAATATAGGGCTTTTACTCGGTGCCGTGTTCTCTTTTCTCTCCCTGGACCAACCACGGGGGGCAGCAGGGGCGCAGGTGCGTTCACACCTCAAAACAGGAAGTGACACAAGATTACATCGCTTTGCCAAGAGCTGCTGCTTGCCCACAAAATGCAGGTAAGTGGTTGGCAAGTAGTTAAAAAAACCCTTAAAAAAATTCTCAATATGGTATTTTTTTTTATTTTTTTAACATTTGTTTAATTTACACTTTTATTTGCAGGAGAAATAAAGATAATTTCTTCTGAAATGCAAAGCTTGCTGTCATGAATCTAACTCATTCATGAACTGCCATCAATGAGTTAGGTTTTTGACAGATAGTGATCTGTGATGGGCTGGAGCTGGTCACATGCTGGTACAGGGTGCTGTGATTGGCCCCATGTATCATGTGACAGCTGTGGGCCAATCACAGCTCACTAGGAAGAGAAGCAAAGCTGTTATGAATGACATTGATTCATAACAGCTTTGCTTACGCTGTGATCATGTGATCGCATAGCGATCACATGATCACCGGGTCCTGTTCCCTGGGATCTTTATTCCGCTATGTCTGCTGGACACAGCAGTTGTGGTGGGGGGAACTCTGTGTGCCTGCTCAGGCACACAGCACCCCCTTATGTTAATACAGCCTGGGCGATGTACGGGTATGTCGCTTTGCCTGTAGCTGCTGCCCGGCCACAGTACATTGAGGGCAGGTGGGCAGGAAGCACTTAATGACTTAAAAAACAGAAACAAACAAACGAAAAAAAAAAAAAAAAGCAGGAATATAATAGCTGAAGGGAGAAGGAGAATAAAAAGTGAATTGGGGTTGATTAGGGTAAACTAAGGTTAATAAGGGATTAAATAGAGACAAATATTATTTACTGTATTTATTCTTTTACTTGTCAGGTTGCTTTAACTGACAGCATCAGCAAATCAAACAGATGAGCTTTGAATGAATAAAACAAACTAGATACAAAAGGAAATATTTTACTTTGTATCTTTCAACTTTACATGTGAACCTTATTGCTAAACATGGAGTCTGGTAGCCCCTTTTGACAGCAGTGGTTGCTGGAACTGCTCTATTTCACAAAACCTCCTGGATTCATTTTAAGATCTGTGAAATGGCAGTGAGTGGGAGGGAGGATGCAGCAAGCATGGCAGAAGGACTGGATTACTACACACGCCTTGTGTATGGTAAATACTTTTGTGGGTGATTGAAGCATGCCCAGTGTCCTAAATTATTTAACACACCCCCCATTGTTATGAAAAACACTGACCAAAATGTAGCTTTTGATTGCTTTTATACCCAGGTAAAGTACAATATATAAGGCACACAGCCATAGAAGGCCTTTGTTTAACACTGTGTAGGAATACAGTATAGGGCACTGCAATTTTATTTGAAGGTCAAATTCTGGGTGAAATGTATTGTCTAAACACAGGAGGGATATCTATTCCTATTTAAATCTTGTTTTACTATGCATTTATCTTCCAGATGTGTGCAGTATACAGTGCAGTAAACGCCTGTAATGACCAGTCACTACTGCTCTCTCTACTTGTGCAGAGTGACTGGTCTTGTACTCACCCTCTGTAGTTTTTTACTCTGTAGAAAGTGGACCTGCTAGGTTTCTCCCTCAGCTCTGCTCTCCGCACAGGCTATGCACAGCATCATGATGACGTCACTGCTATTTTTACAAAGTAATTATTATTATTATTATTATTACATCGAGTTTATATAGCGTCAAAGGGTTTGCTCAGCACTGTACAATAGAGGGGGGGACAATACATGAAACAGTACAGCAACAACAAACAGCACACGAGGGGTTAGAGGGCCCTACTATTTCGAGCTTACAATCTAGGAGGGAGGGGGTAGTGGTACATGAGGAAGTGGCTGTGGGGGATGGAGTGGTAGGAGGAATGAAGGAGAATGGCTGTTAGGTGAGGGTGGGGTAGGCTTTCCTGAAGAGGTGGGTTTTCAGGGAGCGCCTGAAGGTGAGAAGGGAAGGTGACAGTCTGATGGATTGGGGTAGTGAGTTCCAGAGGATGGGGGAGGACCTGGAGAAGTCTTGCAGTCGTGCGTGGGAGGAGGAGACCAGGGAGCAAGATAGAAGGAGGTCCTGTGAAGAGCGAAGGGTACGGGTAGGGTGGTACCTGGGAATCAGGTTGGTGAGGTAGTTAGGGGCAGTGTTGTGAATGGCTTTGTAGGTCAGAGTGAGTAGTTTGAATTTGATGCGTTGGGAAATAGGGAGCCAGTGGAGGGATAGGCAGAGGGGGGTGGCAGAGGTGGAGAGGCTGGTGAGGTGGATGAGTCTGGCCGCTGAGTTCAGGATGGTCTGAAGCGGGGAGAGCTTGCACTGAAGTAGGCCGGTGAGGAGGGAGTTGCAGTAGTTGAGGCGTGAGATAATCAGGGAGTGTACGAGTAGTTTAGTGGTGTCTGGGGTAAGGAAGGTGCGTATCTTGGCGATGTTGCAAGGTGGAGCCTGCATGTGTTTGTAAGTGATTTGACATGAGGTTGGAAGGAAAGTCCAGAATGACGCCAAGGACTTTGGCTTGCGGGGCGGGATTGATGGTGGTGTTGTTGGTAGTGATAGATAGGATGGGGGGGGGTGCGGGGAGGGGGAAAGACAAGAAGCTTGGTTTTGGAGAGGTTAAGCTTGAGGAAATGGAGCGACATCCAGTCAGAGATGTCGTTTAGGAGGTGAGTGATGCGGGCGGAGAATGTGGGGGTGAGGTGAGGGGTGGAGAGGTAAATTTGAGTGTCATCAGCGTAGAGGTGGTAGTTGAAGCCGTGGGAGTGTATGAGTTTGCCAAGGGAGGAGGTGTAGATGGAAAAGAGAAGAGGTCCAAGGACGGAACCCTGGGGGACCCCAACAGAGAGGGGGAGGAAAGGGGAGGTGGCACCGTTGTAGGAAACGCTGAAGGAGCGTCGGGATAGGTAAGAGGAGAACCAAGGAGAGAGCGGTGTCTCTGATGCCAAGGGAGAGTAGTTTATTAAGGAGGAGGGGGTGGTCAACTGTGTCGAAGGCCGTGGAGAGGTCCAGGAGAAGGAGGACAGAGTAGTCGCCTTTGGCTTTGGCGGTTAGTAGGTCGTTGGTGATTTTGAGGAGGGCGGTTTCAGTGGAGTGTAGGGGACAGAAGCCGGACTGTAGTGGATCAAGGAGATTGTTGTCAGTTAAGTGGACGCTTAGGCGATTGTAGACTAAGCGCTCGAGGAGCTTGGAAGTGAGTGGCAACAATGTTGCCAATACAAAGCAGTGTGCTTAAAGTGGAAAGCACAGACATAGCCTCATAGTAAAGCACACACAGCACACAGTTAACCCTTTGGTCACCCCAGATGTTAACCCCTTCCTGCCCAGTGCCATTAGTACAGTATCAGTGCTTTTCATTAGCACTGATCACTGTATTGGTGTCACTGGGGATGTCAGTGACACCAAATCAGTTCCCCCCAGTGTCAAATTGCCCACCGCAGTCCCTCTATAAGTCTCTGATTGCCGCCAGTACTAGTAAAAAAAACAAAATCCCAGTATATATACTGCCATTTGTATATGCTATAACTTTCACGTAAACCAATTAATTTACATGTATTGGAATTTTTTTTAGCAAAGACATGTAGCAGAATACATTTTGGCCTAAATTTATGATTAAATTAGATTTTTTTACTTGGACATGTTTAATAACAAAAAGTTAAAAATATTGTTTTTTTCTCAAACTTGTCGGTCTTTTTTTGTTTATAGCACAAATAAAAACCGCACAGGCAGTCAAATACCACTGAAAGAAAGATTTATTTGTGGGGAAAAAAAGGACATACTTTCATTTGGGTGCAGCATTGCATGACCGCGCATTTGTCAGTTAAAGTAACGCAGTGCCATAATACAAAAAATGGCCTGGTCAGGAAGGGGGGTAAATCCTCAGGAGGGCAAGTGGTTAAAGTGAGGTTTATTTACAGTGAACAATAAACACACACCAACAGCAGCAAACATGAAAACACATGAAATTAAGGTGAACAACCAAAATGTAGAAACCTAAACTACTAACTAAATATATAAATATGTACAAGTGTGAAATATGAAAGGCAGGGGGACTTCTGGGGAAGCAGATGGGAAGGGGGAAACACAACTGAGAAGGAGAAAAGTGACAAGGTAACAGGAAACTGGTACAGGGCAGGAGCAAGAGCAGATTCAGGAATTATTGGCAAATGAGTCTGGCAGGAGATGGCAAATAGGATAAAAAACAGGAGCAACCAAAACACTGACACAAGGAGCCATACCCAAAGTGGAATTTAACCACTTCAATACACGGCACTTTTACCTCCTTCCTGCCCAGGCCAATTTTCAGGTTTCAGCGCTCTCACACTTTGAATGACAATTGCGCGGTCATGTAACACTGTACCCAAACTAACTTTCATTATCATTTTATTCACACAACTAGAACTTTCTTTTGGTGGTATTTAATCACCACTGGGTTTTTACTTTTTGCTTGTAAATAACCCAAATCAGTGTTTATTATTTAGTCTGTAAGAAAGTTATAGAGTTCACAAACTATGGGATATACAGTATCTGAAAATTGATCACTCCTGAAGTACTGACGGCCAATCTAATTTCTTGAGGCCCAGAAATGTCAGAACAGTACAGATATCCCCCAAATGATCCCTTTTTGCAAAGTAGACAGTCCAACGTATTTCATAAGAGGCATGGCAAGTTTTTTGAAGTTGTAATTTTTTGTCGATATTTTTAGAAAATGAAGAAATTTAAAAAATTATTTTCACAATTTTTTTTTTACATGCTGTCACCAGTGCAGTACAGCATCATCATATAATTGGTGTGGTGGTGATCAGGGACATTGACTGGTGACGGTACAAAAAAAAAAATTATATTTTTTTGCAAATTTGTTTTCAATTTTTTTCTCTTATTTTAAGATTTTTTTTCTCATATTACACTATGACCAAAGTAGTATAATGTTACCATAGTAACATTGTACTACTTTGGGGAAGTGATCAGTATTTTTTTTTACACAATTTGATTGCTTATAGCAAAGAATTTATTTGCTATAAGCAAGCATTTTACTGAATGAAATCAATTAATTCAGGTTTTTCTGTTGTGATTAGCTGTGATTGGCCATGGCTAATCATATGACGCAGATGGGCTGTGATTGGCCAAGCCTGTGCATGTGATCACTGTGACCATTCACAGCTAGACACACTTGTATATGATGGATGGCATGAAAGGAAGCCATCCATTGTACACAACTGTCATGTGACCTGCTGTGATTGGGCACAGCAGGTCACATGGTACTAGCAACGGAGCAGGTACACAGATCTGTCATTGGCTGTGTCCGAGGTACACAGCTGGTGACAAATCTTGCCACAGGGAAAAACGCAATTTGGGAGCTTGAGAGGTTCTCCTGGCTATCATACTACTAAAGGCCGAGTGGGAAGTGGTTATGTACCCTCCCAGCAGGTGTGGCCAGATGGAGCTGATTGCTAGGAGACACCCGCTGAGTGCTGGGTGGCACCTGCTGCTGGACACCAAAACTGAAGCTTTCTGCTCAGGGAAGCACAGTGCCAACAGGAGGAAAAACAAGTTGTGACAAGTGGATAAGTATCCTTTGTGGCTATTAAGGTGTATATCCAAGTTCTTGTACCTAGCAATCAACTTAAAAGAGATGTATGACCAAAGCTTGTTTGGCCATACTTGTCATGTGGGTCATAGGAGTGCACTTACTTTTGTACTCCTGTGACCCAGAGTCAAATGACAGTGGGCTAAAATCTACGGTCAGCTGACGTCTCAGATCCACTCCAGTCTCTGATAGGATCCAGACAATAATGTCTTGATTCACCCACATTCCTGCCCAGCAGCTGGCTCAGGCTCCCAGCATGAGAGCCTGAGCCAGCTGCTCCTGCCCACTCCACAGCCTGGTGCTCCAGGGAGCGCTGGAGGGGCAGAGCAGAGAGTTGTGACTGACAGTCACTGGTTCTTTGCTCAGAGCAGACCCCAGAACTGCACAATCAGCAATCATGTGATCACTCTTTTTTGGGCTTAGAGGCAGTGGGGGACAACTTGTAGTATTGGACAGATGCTGCAGCAAGTGGGTAAATATGTTTTTTTTTTCAATCTCACATGTCTCCTTTAAATGGAAACAGGGATTATAAAACTATTGTATTCATTTTTACAACTTAAAGTTTCCAGGTGAAAAAGACTTGTTGCCATATCCCAATATTTTTCTGCTTGTTGTGTGGCTTGGTGCAATAATAAAGAAGTCACAGACACTATTTAAATTACTTTCATAGTTACAAAATAGTGTCAGATCTATACTGTGGATGATGAAGAGTAAAAAAAACAGTGGCAAAGACTGTAAGCAGTTGGCATAAATAGTGAATTAATAAAAAGTGTCTATGAAACACCTTAGATCTCCATCATGTCTCCACACAACAAACTGATTCATGTACCTGTTGGAAACAGCATACATCGTTGCAATCAATCACCATGTGCACAGATGCAATGAAGCCAGATTGTCCATACAAATTGGAGGTATTGGTTTTTGAATTTGGTGCAATAATAGGACTACTTTGTAAAAGACCTACTATGTTGACCTAATCTGTTGCACATGTCAGCAAAGCTACTAAAATAGGGACAGGGTATTTGAATCTAGCACAGAACCTGTAAAAGAGACCTGTCCAACAGAACCCACATGGGCAAGGGCTATACTAAATTGCCTACCTTAGTATGGAAATTTAAATTGTATCAAATATTAATAGTTGTCTACAGTTAAAAATAGTTAATGTCTCTGCTTACACTATGATTATCATGGTGACCGTCCAGTGAGTGCATGTTTCATACATAGAGCCTCGTGATCAAGTGTTCGTTTAAGCGTGCATTCACACCTATGTATTTTTTGTGTGGGAGACGGTATGTATTATTTTTTCTGACTTTTTTGTGTTTGTCTCTAGTAAGATGTGTTCCATCTAATTTTATAACCACCAACCAAATTTAAACTTTTACACTCTAAATGACATTTATCTGCACAGATTTTAATCCAGTCATTTACTATAGACCATTTTTATTTTTCAATTTAGTTTAGGCTACCTTTGCAGATCAATCTTTTTGAAAATGCCAGTTTTCTGTCTTTAATGCTGATCCAATTGCTCATAAAAGTTGAGTTACTGACCCTGAAAAACTACACATATCAGGTATTCTCATTTTAATATTCATTCGCTGCCTGTTTGTTTGGGGTCAGCAGCTCAGGAACTACTAAAGCTACAAACAACTCTTCATTACAGGAAACCTGTACTGAGAGAAATACGTAAGGTTTTTTTGATGAGCAGTAGCCACTCATGGCTAGATGTACAGGGGTTGCATAGGTTTCCCAATAAGAGATTCCCAATAAATTAACCTGATGAAGAAGAAATAAAAAGATAAAAAAATCCATATTTTTCTTTTTTCGTAGAACTATTTCCAATCACTGCAGTATGGTACAGGATCAGCACAGAAAAAATAGTGGAAAAGTTACAAATTTTTACACAGATTAAACATGTTGCATATATCAAGTTAACAGTGCCATGGAGTTTAGAACTGAACAGCAATCACATTTGTTATAGCCAGACCTCTCTGTGCTTCAAAAGTGCAGCAACCAGATGAACAATCTTGTGTGCCTGTACCCAGCTTTTATACAGTTAATGGTGGTACATTGGGTAGAATTACAGGGCTTCTCCAGGTTGCAAAATTACATTCTTGTGGATTACAAATACAATCATTTTTTCTAAAAACAAAATCGTGTGTATTAATATAATACTGTTGCAGTGTGTGCTCTGTCACCAGGTAAATGCTGTGACTTTCTTGTGTATTTAAAGAGCAGAAGGCAGAAAAATAATTTCAGACCAGAAATGTAAAGCTTTTACAGTCAATACATTTTGTAAACTCTTTAAAGTCAATATATTTATTAGTGATTAATTGTGAAGATCTGCATGACATTGTTAGGTAATTATTGCTATTGCTGAGTTTCTTTAAACTCTTATTAAACATGTGTTTGTATAGTGCTTGGTTACATGCTTCATTCATTTTGTTAAAACACCTTTTTAGCAAATGGCAGGTATGAAGCAAAGCAATTAAAGTATTGAATATGACAATGACAAATCATTGCAGTGTCACCGGATGTGCCCCTGCCACTATAAATAGAAATGGAAACCATTTCTGGAAATGTATTTGAAAAACAATCAATTTATCAGCAATGGCAGCAACAAAACTCACTAACATTTTCCTTTATGTTACACAAAATGTCAGCTGCCAGTTAATTTACAGCAATCAGACATCTTCGTCATAATGTGCCCAGTGTAGTGTCATCTTTTAAGGCCTAGATGATCTCTATAGTGTTTGGATTATCTACTGATTGCAAAAGTGATTACAACAAACTAGACAGTACGTTGTAACTCAGGATGCTAAAATTGGATCAAAATTTTGTGAGTTGTTGATGGCGACGATGCTTTAGGCAATAGAGGTAGGAAAAGTGAAAGTGGGAAGGGAATCCCTGATGTCACATTTGCTGTTTATAATGACTGGGTGATTTGTTAGTATAGGCGGCCTGG